TCAAAAGCCTTCCTGAAGTCTAGGAAAACTATATCCACTGCCACCCCTGCATCCAATGATTTAGTGACCTGGTCGTAAAAGGCCACCAGGTTGGTCTGACAGGACCTGCCGCTGATGAACCCATGCTGGTTGCCCCTGAGCATGCAGTTCCCTGCTGGCCCCTCCTGTGATCAGTTAAGATAACATTGTGATCAGTTAAGATAACTGGCCTGGATGTTAAGGCCGGGAATGGATGTAACTTGTGGTGTTGGTGCTTGTAACACTTGCCTGCTCTTTTGGAGTGGTTCCAAAGCTCACTTGGATTTTGGATCTCATTCTTGTGATTCAAGCTCTTGTAATTTCCCACCTGAATGTGGCTCATTAAAACAAACTAAGGGGAAGCTTGTTCGGTGCATAAGTGTGATATTTCCCGCATCTTCCTGTGCTCGGCAGGAAAGCTAAAAGCAAGTGTGCAGCCTTTCTATATGTTTTCATTAGAATGTTTCCCTCTTTCTGTTGCCTTTTTTCAGTCTTTTTTTTCCCTGTAACCTGTTCAAAGTGCTTTTTTTCACTCCTTTTTTTCTCTAGCTTCTGTCTGCCAAGGGAATGAATGCCTTCCCTTGGCAGAATGTATCCAACGGCTAGAAGCTGAAGTTTTAAACTCATAATCTGTGAGTGGGTTCAAAATCTGGCATTACAACTTGGCCCATACTTACCTAGAGTGCTGACCTAACATCCAGAACTGTCCAGCACTGATCTGTGCATTCAGAGCCCTCCTTTTGTCATGCTGTGATGCTGTTAGGGAAAATGGCTCTTTGTTCTAGTGCTTAGCAGCCAGATGCTGTTTCACTTCCCACTTAAATTCCCGTGGGAAGGGAGAGCCAGATAATGACAATCTCATTGGCTCACAACCAGAAATATCTATAGGCGTCTATAGCAGCCTCGGCAGAAGCAAGAGCATGTAGCAGAGCCAGAGACGTCTGCCCTGTCAGCCATCGCAGTAGCTTGGGACACTTGGGGATGATTATGCCTCACCTCTGAATCTTAAGAAAGCCAAAGGATAAAAAACATTTCTTCTGCATCCTCAGATACACCCACCCAGGACTGATGGGCTGTGATGCCTTTCACAGGTAAAGTTCTACTTTCATACATGTCTCTCTTGCATCAGGGTGTTCACAGATGAATACTCCCAGCGAAGGTGAAGGTGGACCAGGTCTCGGGGCATCCTTTCCTATAGACACTATAGATGGTGATGGAACGCATGCTCTTCCCCAAAGAGGCAATGATAAATGTCCCTTTGTGGCTCAGTTTACCTTCCTCACCAAATCCCCATCCTCACTGCTTTTTAATGCCTCACATAAAAGGTGCTGTACATTCTGGTGGCTTTAAGACGGTGGAGCTTCCTGGACAGGCACTTCAATAATGGGTTAGCTGCATTTTGTCACAGCACTTGATTCCAGCAATTCTTTCAGTGATTTGCATCTTATGGATTACTTTTAATGTGCTTCAGGTTATCCTTTACCAAGGGCCACTTCCCGAAGATGGCTGAGTGCGCACACTTCCATTATGAGAATGTGGACTTTGGCAACATACAGGTGAGTTTTGCTTTCTTTTGTATATAATTGGGTTTATTGTTGTCATTGTATTAAACTGGACCAAGCATTTGATAGCACTGCAGGTAGGTACACTTTAATTTTCTGTTATCTGGGTTATCTCAAGATTCTACTTTCATTATACCTATGCCCTCTTGAAATAAAAGGGAGAATTATCTTTCTCTGGGTTTGATTAATGTCAGTATTTTAAGACAGCTGTTCAAAACAATTTTGAATTTTTACTCAACTGATAGCGAGCATTTGTTTCCTGCATGGGTGTGCATTTATATAAATATACATATGCAAATGTATGCAAATCACATATTTATAGCATAGATGTGAGTTCAGGTTTGGTTTATGTGGTATTTGCCACACGTACATCCAGCAGGTCTGTCCTCCTTTAAACGAATAACAGGAGGCTGTCAACCAACTCATGCTCTTTAATGCAGTGCTTGCTTTCAGAGACCAGTATCACCGTTGGTGCCTCTAGGATCCACCAGCTTTGTAGCCAAGGGAGGATTGAATTCCCAGGCTGCCCCCCTTTAACATCTAAATCATTTTGTGTAAAGTGAAGTGAATTAGTTACAGATTTCTAACGCTCTGCTCTTGAAAGTTGTGCTTCTGCCAGCATGCATCCGCTCTCCCACTGCTGGGGAACGTTCTGCCCGATAAGGAATCAAATGATCGCATCCCAGTTTCAACTTATTGTTCAAGTATGCCTGCTTTTGGAACGATAGATTTGCCCAGTAGCACTGGTGAGAGCAAAGAGTGGAACCGTCTTGTGGGCGATAGCTGGTAAAGAAAACAGTAGACAAAGTTCAGTCCCTGTTCTCAGAACTAAGAGGCAACAGGCTGTGTTCAAAGCCACATGTTTTGCTAGATGCTGTATGCATGTGTGCATGCGAACGTACATGCCAAAGCCCTAACCTTCTAAACAGGCAAGGGAAAATGGGCACAGCACGGAGAGGTGAAGTCACTTGCCTGAGCTCATGCAGCTGATCGGTAGCAGAGCCAAGACTAGAACTTGTATTGTGGGACTTATATCAAGTGTCAGTCTTGGATCATGCTGTCTTTCCAAGCTGCTCTAGTGTTTACTTCCAGTTCTTACTGAAGTCGATGGAAGATATGCCACTGAACCAAGAAGAGCAGGATCCAGCTTTTGTATTGCATTATGTTTCTAATGAGAATCACAACTGTTTTCTGCTCCTCTATCTGGAGAGCATGACTAGCTCTGCCTCCCTACCCAGATCTCTTTTTATGTTCTGAATTGACACCATTAATCTTTTTGTTGTTTTGAAGAGGGTTTCATACAGGAGTAAGTGCTGAGCAGGACTCCGTCTAGATTTATATTGTATTGCATTGTGCATTCCTCTGAGAATGCTCTCGTCTCTTCCATCATTCAAAGATAATAAGAATATTGAGTGCATTACCAGACCTCCAACACAATGATTTTCTTGAGCAAGATTGCATCCTGTGGCTCTCTATTATTGCTTAAAATATTTTGAGGACAAATGATTGGACTGTGTTTGTGGTTTCAGTACATCTTGATGTGTGTTAATACTTCAGGCATGGTTAGATGGCAGTGATGCTGAATTTAGTGTTCATGAAAAGGAGCTTCTAATCACAGTGATAAAAGCATGTGTGATCTTTTCAAATTTTCTTCGTGTTATTCTGCCCGTGAACCTTAATCTGCGGGAAAATTTTGAAATGTGAAACTCTAGGCTTTTAATTGCCCAAGGTAGTCTTGAAAGTTAGGATTTCAGATTCGAAGTCATTTACACGTTTTAAATAGTTTTTCCTCAGGCTCTTAGCAAAAAAAACATGCTTAACTGTAGGGCTACTTTCTTGCATAAAGTTAAGCATGTGCTTAAATTTATTTATTGAATCAGAGCCCTACTAGACCCTACCTTCTGGTTTCTATGTTCTGCCAGTGATAGCTGGTAGAGTCCCATTGGGCAGCAACTTTCTAACAGGAATAAGAAGCACTGTAAGAGAGTGGTTGGGACTCACTGCTCCTGGGAACTAAAGCACATTCCCCTGATCTCTGACCGTGAAAGGCCATGGGCATTACTGTGCTTTCTTGGGAGAAGACCAAGTATTAAAAGCTGTCAAAGAAAAACAAATTAAAGCTCTTAGTTTTATCTATTGATGCAGTTCCCTGGTGTAAAGCATAGTGCTGTATTGAACCTTAAACAAGTGACAGTCCCGAGTGGTTCTTTTGTGCTAGCAGATTGAAGTAGACAAGAGAATAGCAGTAGGCTGGAATGACATGCTTCTTGAATGACAGCTTGGTACCTAGTTGCAAATTATTAATGTGCATCTGAAGGCATGGTGGGTGTAATTTCTTGGTAAAAATGATGTGCTCTTAATAATTTGCGTAAGAGAAATGCAGCGTTTCATAGCTAGAACAGTAATTGCATAAAGGTGCCTATTAACAGTCTGGCCAGCTTTCAAATCTCTTTGTAATGTTTTTATCATATGCAATAGGGGCTTGGTTGTGCAATGGATGTTAATACCTTGACATTTCACCTCTAGATGCTCTTAAATCAGCCTCATGAGACATGAAAGTGGATTTGTTCTGTTCTTACTCTAGTGCTAACAAAACCCCACTCACATCAGCGTGACTTTTCTCTTTTTAAAGAGACCCAGGACTGGTCCATAAGGGTCGTTGCCCATCACCAGTGAGGTGCCCTGGCAGTTGCGTGCCCATCATGCTGAACACTGCATGGGTTACACAGTGAAGGAGCTGTGTGTAGCCTGGATTCATCCACTGGATGGGAATTCACTTGTTCGTGTGTCTCAAATTCAGATACACATTTAAGCTGAGATTTCCAAAGCAGCTCAATGAGCTTTGGGCATGAAATTCCATCTGAAATGAGGGGCAGAAGGCAGTGTTTCGTTCATCTGATGAAGTGGGCTGTGGCCTGCCAAAACCGACGCCTCTCTGAACTAGCTAGTCTCTAAGGTGCCACTCGGCTTTGCCTGCTGCCTGACGTCTCATGAACATGACTAACTACTTCTCTCTATTGTGGAATGGAGGGCTGAGAGCCCAAGGAGACTTTGAAAATCAGTTTTAAAAAACTCTTGCCACTTTCTATAAAATAAAATGCAAATGACTTTTACAGAATAAACCGTATTCCTGTGAGGGTTTCTGTGTGGTTTGAGTCACCAGAGCACAGTAGAGCTGCCCATGCGTATAGCATCTCTTGTTTGAATTGACTTGCTACTATTCAAAATGCTTTAAAGGCTGATTATAAAATGTTATAAATGGGATTTTGGTTTGTGTATATCCAGTCAGCGTCCTAGTTCCATGGGTGGCGTGACACCCAAGGCATGAAGGGTGAGCCAGCAGCCGTATTTGTCAACGATGAGAAATATTTTCTTTGCTCTCTTATTGTGAGAAGTAACTTCCTGGGTTTTACACTTGATTTAGCTGTGCATTTTCAGCTCTCAGCAGGTCGGTCTGGTATATGGTTGGCTGTCACCTACATGGCATAATATACTGAGTTCTCATCCCGAGCACACTGCTTGCTTGCCCTGACCTCAGACAAATTAATTAAACGCCTTTGTAACAGGATGTTCTTTGATGACTGCAGCAGTATAAGGAACTCACTGGTATGGAGGCAAATTATATTTAGCTTGTCAGTGTCTTGGTTTTCACTTGTGTTAGTAGGGATAATAACACCTACTGCACATTGGGAGTTACGTAAGCTATTTGCTAAGGTTTGTGCACTGCTGTGGAAAGCTGGAGCATAATATGATATAAAGTATTATTATCTTAGCAATCCACTCTAGAACAGGAGGTTGCATTAGCACAAAAGAGGTAAGCAGCAAAGCAAAGCTTTGGAAGGCTCTTTCCCTTTTGTACTGTTTTTTAAGCAGTGAAACTATACAATATACTTTCAGCCTGGATTTGAGACAGTGAAATTAAATCCTTTCACAGACAGCAGCTTTAACTGGCAGAAAAAAATGGCCATAGCTGTAAGGCCAAAGGCTGGCTAGCCAGGCAAGTAGCTCTCTTTATTGGGACACCCTGTTGATACCAACACTTCAGTAATGGGACGTGCTTTGTTGATCACAGCAGTGTAAAGAATTCACTGGTGTGTTGATTAAATACATTATTTTATCACTGCATTTATCTTTCAAGTCTGCACTGTTGACTTTTTAATTTGGGGATGAAAGGCCAACCTCCTGCGCAGTGCCTTTGTTGTAGTCTAGGGGTGGGTGAGGTTTTGCAAGTCTCACTCATTTGGAGAAGTGGAGACGGGAGCTAAACCTCTTGCCGCCTCTCTGCAAGCCACATTTTCGATAGCGGGCATTGCTACGCAGTGGGTGGAATGTGCTGATTCAGAACGGATAGGGTGGACTGAGCTTCCTTCTCCCCTGCTTAGCTCCTCTCCCCTTTCCACCATTTTTGTCTGGTATCTGCGAAGTGGTGTTTCATATATATCCTCTGAATTTGATTAATTGTATATGGGAAAATATTGGTGAAAAGACTTGCAGGTATATACATTGGACTTGCTCATGCATATTATATTCAGCAGCATAATCTGAGGGAAAGCGCCAGGCTTCCAGAAGATCGAGCTTCTTTCCCCCCCGTTCTCCCACTTGCTTGCTTTATTTGTTAGGTAAACCATTTAGAGCCCAGTTAAGCAAAGCAGCTTAGCAGGCAGTACCTTAGAAAGCACTTGAGAAGTATCATTTATAATGTAAGGGTAACGTTTTCAAAATCCCCCAGAGCTCCCATTTTTTAAAAAGGACTGAAGTGATTCCAGGGGAGTTAGCTGCCTCCATGCCTTTAAAAGTCTGGGTCTTCGTCTCTTAAAGCCCCTTAACTTTCAGTGAGACTTAGGACTTGTCTACACACAACAGTTGTACCGTTTTAGCAAAAACGTAGCAGTTGCATAGCTCAGTGACCTAATAAAGTAGCCACAAAGGTGCTTATATCAGTGCAGAACAGCATTTCTGTGAGCGTGGCTGGAGTGGTGTTGTAGCCAGGAATC